GAGGAAAGGAGCTTATTTGAAGAAAACGAGTGGCTGGCACTGTGCAGGAAGAGATGATGGTTAGAGAGCAGCTTCTGATGGACTGCACTTTCAAAGGATGGAAGCCGAGGTGACTTGTAGGGGGGGGGGTAGAAATGCTTATACTAGCAGAAAACGAATGGAGAGAGACCACGTGCGATTGGGTTGGGTTTGAAGTTGCCCGGAACTATCATACCTATGGATAAAACGATCTGAAACCCAATAAGAAAAGAGGAAGGCAAGGTGTAATAGTCGGAACGATCATTCTTTCCGAAAAAGGGTGGCACTTGTTTTGCACTGCGCTAGCGGCAGGGCATGATCCGATGTGGCTTCTGGGGAATGCGGAGGCAAGGATCCGAAAGGAGGGTGAGAGGTTTGCTAACGAAGGGTGGGATGAGGTCAGTAGTAGGGTCGTGATGGGAGGATGGAAGGAACTCAAGCCTCCTACGAACAACGGTCTGGGTGTCGGGGTTCGTGGTCGATTGGTTTGGCGGTTTTTACCACATTTTAAGCGTGGTCGATTCCATGGAATTGACGCACATAGAATGTGCCTGGTCGAGGACTTTTATCGGACCTCGTTGAAACACGGGCCCTTCTACGGCGATAGAGCCTGGGAGGTCCTCACCATTTTGAGAATAGGTAAGTATGATCGTCTGAAGGTGGACGCGAAGACCTGGGATGCCATAATTAGTCGGGAAGACATAGATGACGTTTTTAAACTCTTTGAGGTAATGTGGTTCGACTAAGAGACAGGGAGCTCGAAAACCATGAGGAAACCAAAAAGGGGGGGGGGATGTATGTAAGCTAAGGGTAACATAGGGTAGGATGCATGTACAATACCTAAGCGGGGCGCTCATGAGGATTAAAACAGGGGGTGGGGCGTCCGGCTACTGTGGGCGCAACTACGGACTGCAGGCAAGGAAGTAAGACAAGAAGGGCAGTACGAAATGGCCCAAAGAAGGACGTTCCTTGAAGACCGCCCACTGGGAATTGAGCCACCAAGGGAACGGGAAGGCGACATAGAAATCAGCATGCCAACCCAGAATGAAATATGGAATCCTATAGTGGATTGGGTCGGAATCGAGCTTTCCGAGAACACAGTGTACCCGGTAACCGAGGTGGAATGGCATGCGGAAGGGGAGCAAGGCGGATGGAATCTGGATCCGCGAGGGCACGTACGCTCGAAGGGGTGGTTGTACCTATCGAAGGATGGGTGGCGCACCTTTGGGGTCACATTAGCATCAGGGGGAGACCCGCTGGGTATGTTCGAGGGCGCCTGGCAGCTAGTATGGCAGGCAGGGTTCAAATTCGCCGATCCTGAGTGGGACGAAGTAACGGCGGATCTGAGGGTGGCTATGGTAGGAACCTTTAGTCTACCTAGAAATGTACGAACGAGGTTGCCGCCCTTTATACTACAAAGGATGGGTGGCGAGGCGCATGTCAGGCAGGCAGTAGCAGGGAATACTACCGAATCTTCCTGGAAATGGGGCCGTTCGATAGCGGGGAGAGGTTATGAGATACTACGCGTACTACACGCAACTTTGACAACAACGCCAAGGATCCTACTAATTAATAACCACGTCTTGTGGGACGTCATCCGGCGGGAGGTAGGCCGGGGCTCGACTTATATAGACGATCTGTACCGGTTGTACGAGCTGCCGGAGGAAGACGTTGCCCCCTGAAAGACGAACTAAGAAATGAAGAATAGTAGAAGCCAGAGAAGAAGAATGAGGGCATAAAAGGAAAAAGACGTGGTAGACGGACTGTTGCTGAAGACAGGCTGTAATCCTCTTTGTTTGGGCTATGCAGGAGATCACCGATCAACGATGGCGGCAAGACGCGATCGGACGGCACGCCAGCCCCGGTACCCCGGCCCACCCTGGAATAACGGCAGGGGGTGGGAAGTATCTCTTTTAGCAATCTTCGAAGTTCGAGGAATCGACGTAGAATGGCGGGACGTAACCTTGGGAAGGGATTGCGCCTTCGTGATGGTGGAATGTTTGTGGACAGGGATGCGGTTTAACCGGGGGCCTGGGGATGACCTATACTCGAACTTGGAAGTAATTGGGACTTTGTACCTACCCGAAGTTGGGTGGCACTCGCTGGGGATCGGAATAGCACAGGGTCACGAGCTAGCCCCGGTCTTCTGGAGAGCTCTATTGACAAGGATAGGTCAAGCAATCAGGGGCAGGAGGAACGTGGGCTTACGGACCGGTGTGGAAGTAGGGAGTTGGCGAGGGTTTAGTGCACCAGCAACCCCGTTGAGGTGTCAGGGCCCCCGATTCATGATAGACCTCATCTTTGGGAGCCTTCCTAGGGCACAGGATCTGGCGGACTCAGCAACAGTGTGGGTAGACCACTTCCCACCTCACGGGCCGTTTTGGGGGAACCAGGCCCAGGAATTATTGGAGGTCGTCAATATTCTGATATTCGGGACGCTGCGGAGAGCAAGACTAGCACAAGGAAACGAGTCTGTATGGCGAATGTAGTATTTGCTATCACATGTAGGGGCTCACCAAAGGGAAATGGGAGAGGGCCGCTAGAGCTAGACGACGAAATACGTCACCACAAAACGAGGAAAAACCAGTAAGAGCGCGTAGTTTGGAAGGTGGGAAGGGGCACCCTCGACTAGGGCAGGTCGATCATAGCAGATGCAAACCTTGCCTAACCGCCCGTGGCGAAGTGTGGACATTCCTGAATATTGAACAAAGGCTCGATCTCTAGGAAAGACCCCTGCCGCTGGTGCTCCTTCGTCGTTCGGAAAGTGATAGTAGCCGAACTCGCATTCTGTAAAACCCAATGCGAGGATAAGACCGCGATGACCGTCGTAACCGGAAGGGTTGAAACCCTCCTAAAAAACGATAAAAAAAAACCTTGACCTCAAGGAGGAGTGGGAACCCTCTTTGGCAAGACATACAGCCGGGGATCTGGCGTATCCTCTAAGACATACTAGAATGCTCTAGTGAGCCTGTCAGAGCAGGCAGCTGGGTAATACCCTCTAGTCCAATAGGAGAGTGGACCAATTACGGTTTTTTTCGAGAAACAAGCGAATGGCAAAAAAGGGGAAGGGCTACATCCTTGAATAAGGCACACCAAAGAGACTTATAGGGCCTATGGAACCTAAAAATCCCGAGCGGCTTAGTCCCGGAAAATTCCTCTGGCTTATGCAGATCTAGGCAAAATGGCGATGGAGGGAGAGACAGGCAATCATAGAAGCAAGGGAGGACCAGGCACGTAGGAGGCAGTGCGGTACAAAGCGAAGAGGGTTAGACGGACAGATAATCAACAAATCTGGATGGGACCAAGGGGAACAAGAAAGAGATCTCCTCAGTAGAAAGCTCGGGGAAAGTCGGGGGAAGCAAACAAGGGACCCAGGAAACCAGGGAAGGTAGAAATAAAGAGAGATCGAGTCCACGAAATTCAGGAGCTGTATCAAAGAAAGTGAGAATCACGGATGCGTGGCGCAAGCTAGCAGAGATAGAAAAGAGAACCCCGGAGTACATGGCAAGATTGATGGAGGAAATGATGATCGAAAACGAGGACCTTTCGAGGGAAGAGGACTGCGTGACGAACAAAAGGCCTGCCGAGGCGGAATTGGGTAGGGGGGTAAGGATAGTGATCGCGGAGGAACACCTAGCAAGAGAACAAAAGAGAGGGAGGACTCCCCTGGAATAGAAGCGGAAAAAGCTACAAATCCTCCAGCCATAGACATCAGGGCTATTCGTCTGTCAGCCGCGCCGAAAGTTATGCGGGGGTGCGAGGGACTCTGGAGCCTTAGGGAAATTGTATTGGGATGGTTTGATCAGGAGGGGACTATAAAAATCGGAGAGGGACAAAGGGTCGGCAAGGAGGAGCAGGAAACGAGTACGGCGGGCGAGACCAGCAACTCCGAGGGTGGCCTCAAAAAGATGGTGTCGTCCCTCACACGAGCACCAAACAAAAACCAAGGATACCTTGTGAACGCTAAGAAGAAGTTGATATTTGACGCGGCAAACATCACTGAGTTCCTAATAGACTACGAGAACCTGACTGCGTTACTAAAATGGAGTGAAGAAGAAAAGATGGATCACCTAGGACAGCATGTGTCGCCGAGCCTAGGGCGAGACATAATGACTATCGTTGTCGTGAGCAGGTCTTGGAAGGAAACCCGAGATGTGATGATGAGGAAGTATCTGGCGGCAGAAAAGATGGCAACAAAAGACGAATTAGCGACAGTACAAAGGAAGAACTCCGCCACGTACAATGACTTCCTAAGAGAATTTACCCTAGTAGCATTAAGGATCCCCGGGGTAACGGACCGAATAACGAGCAAGTATTTCCTCAGGCAGTTCTCCGAGTTCGATAAGGATAAGATTTTGTCAACGTATCAGCAAACGAGCAAATTTGTGAACACGAGGGATGTTGATTTCAGTACGGTAACAGACCTTGCCGAGAAAACGGTAGTGACCGAGTCGTTGGCCTTGCTTAAGGAAGGAGAAGTCATAGATCTGACCGGCAAGACGGGAGATAAGGTGAAAAGGGGGATCGAAAGCCTACACGAACGCATGCACAGAGTCGACAATAAGATAGAGAGGGTGGAGAACGCACTAATGGTAATGCAGGCACAAATATCCTGACCCTCCCTCCCTCCCTCCCCAATAAGCTGTGATCCCAGCAAGAGTGGCCAACCGGAGGTTCAATAGGAGAGATCCCGCCAATGAGCATTGCAGATACTGCACAACAGTTGGACACTTTGTGCAAGCTTGCCCAAAGCTCAACCGCCGTATCATGAGAAAGAGATGCACCAGGTCACAAAAAGGGGAAATATTTAGGCCTCGGGGGGAGCGAGTGAATTGGAACTCACCTGGAGGAATGCAACGTGCCGTAATCATCCTCAATGACTTAGAAATAGTAGCGGTAGAAGCCGAGCCAGTAGTCGATATCGTCTGGGACCAACCCCGAGGGCGCGGGGCACAGGTTAACTTTATCTTAGAAAGTGACGGACGCGATAGGGTGAACGTTACTACTCGATTGGGAACGACAGAAAGAAGAGTTATCCGTGATACAGTGATGGAGGAGGTTGCTGGAGGCACCACGAAGCAGAGCCTGAAACCGAGGAACCGGGGAAAGTTTACGGAAAGCCTAGGGAAGAGGAACCTATGGACAAGGTCACGGCTGCAAAGAAAAAATTTATGTATCAAATCCGGATCCTAACCATGCCAGAGATCGACGACGCTCTTAGCAATTTGTTGGGAACCATGGTATCGGTATCTTTTCAGACCATGTTGCAAGCAAGCCCCAGACTGCTCAAAGGGCTTAGGCAACTATTGACTCGCCGACGAGTGGAGGTAGACGGAAATCCGAAGTCACTGGAAGAGGAAAAAGAGGAGGAGACTCCGCAAGAAGTTGCTAACCTCCAAAGGATCCCTGGAGACTTAGAGGATCTAGAAAAGGTTTTCGCAGACATTCGCTTAAGCTTACCGGATCGCGAAGGTGGGGAAGTCATGATAGCGACGCCCGGAACGAAGCTTAGTTTCCATACGCTGCCCGTAGGAAAGCTAAAATTGCAGATCGGGACTCATCACAAAGACACTCTAGTAGATGGAGGTGCGAAAATCACACTTATAAGGAAAAATTTCGCAACAGTTATCGGCTGTGTAGTTAACAAGGAGGTAATGGGGAACATCCGAGGGGTCGGTGGCGAGATCCCGTTTTCAGGATATGTCACCAAATGTGCAGTCAAGGCGGGCGTCCGGGAGTCGATCTGGTCATTTCAACGGATGACCGTACTAGACGAATTGGACCACGACATAATCCTCGGAAGACCATGGTGTGCCAATGTAGAAATGATAGGGATGCATCTGCATGATGGGGGACATACATGGTGGACTTAGAGGACCCCGTAACTGGTCGTGGGGAGCTCCTCCGACTAATTGGGACCGGAGGAGACCCTCCTAAGGGAAAACTGGCGACGTGGTCGCCTTCGTTCGAAGATAGCGCTCGAAAGGGGGCTTTCGCTCGAATGGAGGGAATGAGAGAGAGGGTGAAAATCATGATTGAGGAGGCATTTAGTAAGAAAGAATGGATTAAGATGGATCTGCCTCAAAAGAAAAAAGAAGGCAGGAGGACGAGGCCTTAGGGGTCATGGTAGCGAAAAAGGAATCGGAGGTTGAACTCGGGGTCAGTCTGCCCAAGCTAAAAGAAGTGCAGGAGGTGGTATCAGAAGTCGTGCTTGAAATCCCCGATTTGCTACAGCTCATCAAAGCTATCAGATATCACAAAGTAGGGGTGGACTCGACGGCGCTTGCCAAATTCGAAAAAAAGGTGCTGAAGGGCTACTGTTTGGATGAAAAAGTAATCAGTATTCAACCTCGGGTCGCAGAGACAACATGGGCAATCCCGACCATTCATATTTTAGGAGAAAAAGATCCCGGAAGGAAGTGTTCGAAAATACAAACCAGTAGGGAAGAAAGCTAAGTCAGTCTCAATCCTGCTAAAGACATCCAAGGAGGAGGCTATGGAAAAGGAAGAAAACGTTCTTCGAGTAATCCGAGAAAGACGAGCGACGGAAGGGCATCGGATACCGGATGAGGTGACCGACACCACGAAGATAGGAATAAACGGGTTTTTAACGGAGGAAGAAAGTCTTGTGATAAAAAAATGTGCCAGGAGTTTCACCTGGCATTCGCCTTTAATGACCATCAGAAAGGGCAGCTAGATGCAAAGTTAATCTCTCCCGTTAGGATCCACACGGTAGAGCACGAGTGTTGGAACGACAATGGGCCAGCCTACGAATTCGGGATAGGGGACGTAACGGAGCAACTCAGAGCAAAAATTGACTCCTTCGTCGCAAAGCCTACCGCGTCTCCGTATGCGAACAAGTGGTTCGCCTTTCGAAAACCCAACAAGACGCTGAGGTGGATTCAAGATCTGCCAAAATTGAATGCAATAACCATCCGGGATGTCGGTTCGCTACCGCAGGCTGACTTGTTGGCAGAGTCCCACGCCGACCGGAGCATGTACTCCCTGGTAGACTTGTGTTCAGGGTACGATCAACTCCCATTGGACGCTCGGGACAGACCATACATCGCAATGCATTCTCCCGTAGGACAGTTGCAGATGCAGGTAACCCCTATGGGTTTTACAAACGCGGTGACCGAAGCACAACGAAGGATGCTCGCTGTAGCAGGGGACATGTTCCCAGAGAAATGTGAACCCTACATCGACTACAACCCGATCAAAGGCGCCCAGGAGAAGGACGAGACGGAAGTTCAGCCGAAAATTCGAAATTTCGTGTGGGACCATCTATAAGACATCAAGGACTTACTCCGCCGCTTCCTGGTGTACAATATCGCTGTTAGCGGACCAAAGAGTATTATGGCAGTTCCGGAGGTGACCATATTAGAATTTCGTTGTGGAGCATATGGGAGGAAGCCAGACCCGACAAAAATCGATAAGATATCTCAATGGCCAACGCCCCTGCGTACGACGACGGAGGTAAGAGCATTCTTAGGAGTAGCTGGCTTTTGGAGGATATTTATTAAAAAAATTGTCAAAATTATCGAGCCCATCCGCGCCATGATCAGAGAGGAAGGAACCATGGATTGAACTGAGGAGCGAGAGGTAGCCGTCCAAACCCTCAAGGACATACTGAAATTGGAACAAGTTACCTTGGCGGCGCTCTATTTTAACGACGAAATTGGACGGCCATTTATCCTCGAGATGGACGGAGGACCTTTGGCCGCACGGGGCGTTCTGATACAGAAAGACGAGGAAGGGAAAGAAAGGCCGATTAGGTTCGAAAGTAGAACCATGAACTCTGCGGAACGGGGATACTCCCGATTCGGAAAGGAGGTCCTAGCCGTTCTACATTGCCTCAAGACCTTCCAAGCCTACCTATTCGGGAGGCGTTTTATCCTAAGGATCGATCCGACCAATGTCGAGGGGGCTTTAAAAAGTTATAAGCCTATAGATCCGACTGTTGGGAGATGGGTAGGCTTCATCTGGCAGTTCGATTACAAAATCGAACGGATTGCTGGACTCAGAAACAAGGCCGATGGGCTAAGTTGGGTCTGCATCACACCCGAAGGGGTGGAGGATGCGGAACCCATCGACGCTTTCCTTGAATACGAAGGAGGAACCCTTGCGGTGGATAACAAAATGATGAGCGAAGTATGCACGTCGAGGGAATTATTGATTCAGACCTTGGAAAAAGGGGCACCTGCCGTAGTTGCGGAGCTTAGGGAAGGACCAGTTACCATACAAGGACGCAAAGAGGAGAAGGATTTGTGGGGAGCGATAGTGGGTCCGAGGGAGGAATTGATACCGATGGCTGGTGAGGAAGGTCAAAAAGCCGTGATGAGTTGAGTAGAGTCTTGGGAACGAAAAAAAGTTGCAGCTATTGGTGAACAAGATGCAGGAGAGGCAGGGTGAGAATCATCAAGGAAAGGAGTTTTTCTATGTTCAAATGTGTGAGGGGGTCTTTCAAGAAGTCGGATTGCTGCTGGTAGGGAACAAGCAGCCTATGGAGGTCAACTTTAAAGCAAGGGAGAATGTCGAAAGATACGTCCTAAGGAATGATCATCTGTGGAGGAAGGCGTTATGCCTAGGAGAGTCGTATGCGGGAAGTCTAGGCAGCTGGACGTAATCCAGGCACTTCACGACGGACTAGCGAGGGGACATCGATCATCTAAAGGGACCCTTGGAAAGATAGCACCGCTCTACGATTGACCAGGCATGGCGAGTATGGTGGCCACGTACTGCCAAACCTGTCTGAGAGCGGAGCTCGGTCCGCGTTTTCGACCCACTTAGACCAGCACGAGTGCTAGGGCCAGGGCATCTGGTCCATCTCGACCTCGCCGTCATGCCTGTGTCAGCAGATGGATACAGGTATATTCTGGATGCTAGGGATAACTTGAGTGGGTTTCTGGAGGCAGTCGCCCTCAAGAAAAAGACGGGAAAAAGGGTAGCGGATTGGATAGACGAGTTCTACCTGAGACATCCCTTCATCAAAAGGTTCATAGCGGATAACGGAACTGAGTTCGTGAACCAGGAGGTGCTAGGTATGCTTAAGAGGATATGCGTACCTATCAAACTCATCGAGCCATATCACCCCGAGGCCAATGCGCTTGTGGAAAGGGGGCACCGAACCTTAAAGAACACAGTTGCAAAGGTTGCGGCAAACGAACTTGGGAGTTGGCCTAGATACCTTAAGCATATTGTATTTTCGGAGAACATGACGCCAAAAAGGAGAACAGGATGTATACCCGACCGAACTATGGTACGAAAGAGAGATCGATTTCCCCGTAGAGGCTTTGATACCCACATGGAACAGGCTAGACGACGATCCACACATGACCACGGAGGAGCTGATTGAGGCAGAATGTCAGCGGGTCCTTCGAAACGAGGAGGTCATGGAGGAAATTGCCAACCGGGTACTGTGGACAGCAAGGTGAAGGACAAAGCAAGGTGGGACCAGGTTAAGAATATCCGAAAGGAGCCACTTCAGGTGGGGGAAATTGTACTGGTTAGGAATTCAGCACTGAAAAGTACGTGGTCTGGACAGTTGGGAAGGAGGTTCAAAGGCCCCTACCGGGTCGCTAAGCGTGTGGGACTGAACACCTTCAAATTGGAAGATTTGGATGAAACTCGATTGAAAGGACCCTTCCCAAGGCAGCGACTAGTCAGGTTTCTAAGTCGGGATCCAGTGAAACAATGGCTTCAGGAGGTCCAACATAAGGAAACTGAGGAATCCACAAACTGAGAGCTGGCCTTACTATGGTTTGTCTCTGACTACGTTTGTGGGGCTTTCTTTCTTTGGGGAGGGGGTAATGGCTTGGGTTGGTTGACAATGGGCGTGGGGTGCCTTGAGACCTTTGTGCCATGTTTTTTTTTGTGCAAGGGGTGGATGGTGTCAGGAAAGGATGCCTAAAGCATTGTACCATAATTTTTGTGGGGAAATGATGGGGTCGTTGCAACTGTGGCATCTGTATGGGGAGGCGATGTGTAATATGTTTTCGAATGACGGATATGGGGAGTAGTCTTGGGAAGTATCTTCTACCAAACTGGGGGAGTGTGTGTATGAGGGGCTCGGTGGCTGTTGTTTTGTTATGTATAACAGGATCAGGACCCTCACCTATCAAAATAGGGGAAGGGGTATATATCTCATCAGGGAGTGAGAGCGAGGAAGAGAGAATGGGCATGGAAGAGAGGGATGTATGGGGAAGAGAAAGGGGTCAGAACCTCGTCGGGGAGGGGGGCGAAGACTGTAAACAGCATGAGCAACGGTACAAGGAGGACGAAATGAGGCAAGGTACGAATAACGGTTGTGAAAAAGGGGAGGAAAAAACAGAGAGCCTGCATAACAAACGAAGCGCCCACTACAGTTGTGAGAGGGGATACACGGACGTTGGGGAAGAATACGAAAAGAGGGTGGACATTCCCTATAACTTGGACCCTGAAAACCTTACGGGTGAGTTCAGCCCCGTACGAAGGGAAGAGGATGAGGACGAGGATGAAAAAGTGCAGGAGGTCATTGAGATTAGCAGTGGTGATGAAACGGATGAGATCTCAAGGCCTAGAGAAAAAGGGCGACCCTCCAGAAGCAGGTCACAAGAAGGATCCTTCAGATGGGAAGATGAGTTTGGACCAACACCTAGTCATTGGTTTGAGCAATGGGTTAGCGTGATCAGACATGGCTGGGTCATCAAGGCCAGAGAACTGATGGAGGCCGGAGTGACAGCCACACTCTTGGACTTTTACAATAAAGAGGAGTTGCAAGAAATTGCGAGGAGAAAGAGGGAAATCTTGGCCTCCGGCCTGGGAACCAAGGGGTCAACGGAGAGAGGGGATGAAAGGACAAATGACAACAAAAGAGACTAGGCGCTATGAGCATTGAACAAAAGTTGTGTTTTTTGCAATATTGAAGTGGCAAAGTTTGGATAGTATGAATGAGCTTGCTAGGAATGAGCGGTACAAGGACTAGCCAGAACTATGCCTCGATGAGTTAGAAAACAGTATTTTGAGTTTCTTCCTGGATGAGCTACCTTTGAAAAGTTATGTACGAAACGAGGACAAGGGGTATGGGGACGAGACAGCTTGGAATGGTTGCATTGTGAGCCTGAACGAGACAAAGATTGCACCTTTGAAAAGAGACTATGAATTTGGATTGACGAGCAAATCAAGGCATTGAGTGTCGGTCGAGTACAAGAGAGGTTAGGGGACCTATGGGTAAAGAGGCGTGAGAACCCCTCTTCCCTAAGAGCCTAATCCAACTGAGTTATGAATGAGCCAAAAGTAGCAAAAAGCCTGAGAGGTCAGAAAGAGTGAAAATAGAAAGGATGTCCGGGTGCCTTTCCCCAAGGTGTCCCACGTTCCTTGGGCGTTTGCCGCCCCCCAATAACCCCTCTCACTTGTCTTTCTTGCGGCTTGCGCGCGCTGGTTCCTTTGGCCGTGAGGCCTCCAACCCGAGGCTCCTGTAGGTGGCCCCCATGTTGGGCCCTTATTCCCTTGCTTCCCACGGCCTCCGGGGCCGTCCATCTCTGGACTCCCTCATTCTTTTGTCGCTGTTGTGCCGCATTTGCTGGTTCAAGGGCCCTTTGGCCTTGGTCGTGTTGAATTCCAACGACCCTCCCGGCCTCATGTTATGTTCTATGTGCCCCTGTTCTTGCGCTTACTCGTTTGCCGTTGTTGGTTCTCTCCTCGTGTGGTTCTCACCCCAGGTCATCACTCCCTCCTGCGGCCTAATCCTTTGTCTTTTCTCTCTCTCCTCCTTATTCCAGATTTCTTTGTTGTGCACAATTTGTCTATATTCAGTCTCTCGAGTGATGGGAAGTTATTTGAGACCCACCAGTCCCGACACATTCCTCCCACCCATTCACGATGTCCTCATCGCGCACCAATCTCCTGTCAGTGGGGTTTGGAGGGATAGACGGAGAGGAGGACGGGATGTCATAGGTGGTTAGTTTGCCAGGGTCCGTTTTGTCTTTTCTTTGTCCTTTTTCGGGTTTCTTCCAGTTTCCGGCCTTGGAACGGGGAGAGGTGTGCAGGGTCAAGCTTTCTTTGTCCTTCAGGCTTCTCATGTCTCATTCATCACTCTTAGAACATCAGACCCCTTTTCTCGTATCTCCTTCCCTGCTTCTCCCCCGAGCCTTGTCATCCCAACCGCACTTTGGCTGATCCACCATCCATCCCATGCCAACCAAGTTCCTTTCCCGGCCCCGGTCGCCGTCAACGCTTCTTTTACTCGGCTCTATGGCCCGTGCAATCCACGCCTCCCGTCGTTCTTTCCTCAATCTCAAGCTCAACCAAATCCACACGTATTTCTTCCAGGTCATTTTGCCCGACTTTTCTCTCTCTTGCCTTTTTCACATGCATGTCTCCCTTATTCGACCTCTCTTGTACTCGTGCTCAATCAATTTTCCATGCATGTTACCCAGTGCATTTCATATGCATCTTTCTTTTGGACATCTTGCCAGGCCTTTCTCAAGCCTGTGCAAAGTCAATTACACATACATCTCTCTTTTGGGTATCTTGCCAGGCCTTTCTCAAGCCCACGCAAAGTCAATCACACAAACATTTTTCTTCTGGCGTTTTGCCAGACCTTTTCTCAAGCCTGCGCTAAGTCAATTACATAAGCAATTATCTTGCCAGGCCTTCTCTCAAGCCTGTGCAAAGTCAATCACACAAGCAATTTTCTTCTGGACATCTTGCCAGGCCTTCTCTCAAGCCTGTGCAAAGTCAATTACACAAGCATTTCTCTTCTGGACATCTTGCCAGGCCTTTTCTCAAGCCTGCGCAAAGCCAATTACACAATTTCTTTTCTCCTCTGGACTTCTTGCCAGACCTTTTCTCAAGCCTGCGCAAAGTCAATTACACAATTTCGTTTCTCTTCTGGACATCTTGTCAGGCCTTTTCTCAAGCCTGCGCAAAGTCAATTACACAATTTCGTTTCTCTTCTGGACATCTTGCCAGGCCTTTTCTCAAACCCATGCAAAGTCAATTACTCCATTTCCTGAGTTCATGGTAACCTTCTCTTTTGCACGCTTTTTCATCGGTAGATGGCACACCTTCCCCCCACTCAAAATGCGATGTCCCCATCGCACGACTGGTTCTCACTTGGAGGTACGCAGACCTTGCCCTGCCAACTGAGTAGACGGATGTCGGCCCATCAGCCCCAAAAAGGAAGGGTGATCAGTCCCCCCCCTGCTGATAACTCACCTCATCCCCTACTCTAGTCCGGCGGCCACTTCTCTGGAAATGGGCATCATCATTGAGGTGTCTCCTCGCATCTGTTAGGCGGGTCCAGTCCGCGCCTCCCAGGACCCCATCATACCACAAGTGGCTCCCCCGCGAATCGTTTCTCCCAAGTGGTATTTTCTTGGATCCGGCCTCTTCCTTTCAAGAGAGTTGGGGCTCTCTGTTAGTTTGCGAGTGCAGTTACGAAGACCTCGCGGTTAGTCCCGGAACGGTTGTAATCATCCGGCAAGGCGGTGTCACTCGCCCTGTGGTGGTTGCGGCTTCCACCCGGTACCACGCTCGACCCCTCCCTTTGGACAGTGCCGCTCAACTTAATGCGAGCAACCTTGGTCCATCCCAAACGGTCACGCCGCCCCTCTATGGTATGGCGTGTGGTTGGGGAGGCTCCACGCCCTTGACGTTTAGGTTCTCAACATGAGGCGCAATTTGAACTCCCCAACTAGAGCTCGTTGTCGGAGTTGGTTCTGGACGATCAGCATGCCTTGGTCCTTCAACCCTTATCCATCCTTATGAGGAATAGGTCGCGTTGAGACTTTCCCTTGACGGGTAGAGGTCATGGGGTTGTGGTGTATGCATCGCTATCCCCCTCACGTTGAGGCCTGAGACTAGAAAGAAAGGAAAACTCAATCCTTTGTTATTTCCGTGGTCGGCCCGACGACCTTTCATCAAATCGCCTAGGGTCCCCTGACTATGCAATGCAATATTCAATCCTCAATCACTCAATCCAATGTTATTTCCAGTCCTTTCTCACGACTGATTCTCATGGCTGGTCCGACAGCCTCTCATCAACAAGGCCACCCCTTGTGGCCGCTCTGGTAGTCACTTTCTCAATAGCCATCTTCCAAGACCGACCCGTCGGCCCACCTTCAATTCTCAACTTCCACATTCCAATATCCCATTCTTATGACCGTCCCAACGGTCCATGCCCTTCTCGACTCAAGACTCGGCCTCTCTTTATCCTGCCCTTCTCATTTCAAGGCATCAATCTCTCTCGTTCATTCTCGTGGCTATTTCAATGACCGACCCACCAGCCTTTTCCATCTCACATTGCTCATTCCAGCTCATTCTCAATCAACCTTTCTCAATCAATTATGCAGGGGACCCCAGTGCCTATTTCAAAAGAAATGACCATAGTCAGGGGCAATTTTCGAACAACCTGGTTAGGGTCATTCTTTTTCATTCTCAAATCAAACAGCCTAGTTAGGGTCATTCCTTTCCATTCTCAAGTCGAACAACCTGGTTAGGGCCATTCCTTTCCATTTTCAAGTCGAACAACCTGGTTAGGATCATTCTTTTTCATTCTCAAATGTTAGCGCCCGAGGGGGTGGGCCTCGAGGACACGGATCCCATTTCTGTCTCGGAGGTTAGACGGTGGCTATCTCTTTGCAGTTTTCTGCATGAGGTTCCCTTTGTCCATTTCTCAATATCATTTACTGTTTATGCAAATATCCGACTTAGCGTCTAGTTGCTCGAATTGAGGCTCACAACCCCAAGCAGCACTAGCCCACCCAGCCGTTCAACCATAGCAAAAGACCTTGGCACCCCCTCTATTTTCACTCTTTCTGGTTTTCTCAGCTCTTTGGCTATTTTCAGACTCATTCATGACCCAGTTGCATTAGGCTCCTAGGGAAGGAGTGTTCTTCACGCCCCTTAACCCATAGGTTTCCTAACCTCTTTTGTACTTGACCAATCATTCAATGCCATGCTTTGCTTGTCAATCTGCACTCACAGTTTCTTTTCAAAGGTACAATCCCCATTCCATCCAAAGTTCACAGTACACTCTTCCCAACCAATCTCATCCATGCCCCGCGTCATTGTCTCGCGTACACTCTTTCGAAGGTAGCTCATCCAGAAAGTAGCCTCAAAATGCTATCTTCTAAATCATCATTGTCGCGCGCGGCAGTCCCACACCCAGACGTAAAGTAGTTTTTGGTGTTGAACCTCACGGTCGTATCACGCAGGAGTTTTATAAGGGTTTCAGCGTAAAGACCAACTCCGACCGTGCGCGCGTGCTATACCTCTCGCGACTCCCTACGACAGGTTAGGGATCCTGCGAGGTACAACATACCTCCACCTGCGGGAGCTGTCACCATCCCTTAGGTGGGCGTATCCCTGTTGAGCTACTGACCCACGTGCGAAGGCTTTTACATGCAATCGCAGAGGTAGGCCAGCCAAGGGCGTTTTCTCGATCGTCGTAGCATAGGCATACGCGCGGTTATACGCCTGAGACTGACCCGTATATACGTCGGGCATCGGGGCGCTGATCTCCCGGACCGACTATTAACTCAGGTCGACTCGACTGACGAACGTTTTCGCGCATACTACTCTTTGCCTAGAAAATAGTTTTAATATGTAAGACTCATAACTTATCCCAAGTTCAAGTAGGACCCTTCTCAGTACTTAAATTACCAGGGGTTGCGCATAAGACACATACCCATACTAGCCAATGATCAAGTTCATTCATCATTTTTTTCCGTTAACCCTTTAACCATAGCATATAGACATGTGGAGTGAGATAAGGCTGAATAATTAGGCGAGGAGATGTCACATACACACAACACTTTCACATAAACATTCTGAATTCATCAAGGAGGTCTTTGACCTTTCAAGCATGAACAAATGAAAAGATCAGCAAATGAATGAGGCTTGTCACCTTAGCAATAATCCTAATCTTCCTAACAATCAGGGGCAAGGCGCAAGGTTGGGTACTCAAACCAATCGCGCACTGACAAGATGTCTGGGTACTCAAACCAATCGCGCACTGACAAGATGTCTCAGTGTGTTGCCGTGAATAGCATGTGGCTGGTCTTATTACTGACCTGCAGACAAGAGTCAATCACATTACACAATTCTAGCAGAGTCAACCATTCATTCACCTTTACAAACATCACACTTACGCTCCCAATCCTTTTAATCAAACATTCCCCTTTCGACTTAATC